ACTTAGTTGAATCAAGTGTCTTGCTAAGAACTTTTATAGCTAATTCCTTAGCTTGCACTAATGAAATCTTTTCATTTTCACTTAATTCTTGTTTTAGCATTGATATAGCAGCTCCAAAGTTATTACCAATGCATGTTGCCTTCCAACCACCATAATTACCACTAGGATCGGATTGGTATAATTGATAACCATAATGTTTATCCCAGCCCATGTATAGTATTGAAACGCCGAATGGACGTTTACCACCATATTGTGTATATGCCTGCTTTATGTCACATAAATACGATACTAACTGCTCAACAGGGACTGGTTCACCATAATTATATTGATAGCGCTGAGAAAGTACACGCAGTTCACTAGTTAACACATTTGCATCAGATGTAATACCAGCTACTGAACAAACTATATCACTATCAAAAAGATTATATTAATTGATTTATGTATTTATATTATTATTTTCAACTTACTCGCTTAGTTTGTAGATTTTTTCTGAATAAACACCAGCAGTGTCTAACAACTTGTTAGTATTACGGCATTCTACAGCTAACAATATACCATCCTCGGCTAAGATGCCTAAGCAAGTTCCAGCATGTGAAATTGCTTCCATAGCATATTCAACCTGGTAGAGGCGTCCCTCAGGTGAGAAAATTGTTGTACGGGAATCATAGCGACGAGCCTACGCAAATATATAAATGATTCAATATTTTTTCTGCATATATCATATATGAACAGTACTTTTCTAAAATATATTACAAATAATTGTTTAAACATACCATTATAGAAGTATTATTAATATAAAATAGTTTTTAACACAATTATCTTCAACGGGAACGTGAAGCGGCTTCTTAATGAAGAATATGACACAACAAAAAAACAAATCTTACTTGTCATTGCTTTTGCTGTCACTTAAGTTGGCTGCGTTTGGTTGAAATTCATATTGACAATCGTAAACTTGGCAGCACTTTTATGTTTTTTTTTATAAATTTATCGCCCAGTAAAGTGTATTCTTCACAGTTGAAACTAATTCAATGTTTTCTTCGTGAATACAATAAATATGTGTGATTTAGTGAATGTAAGTGTATCATTAATATAAGAAAAATGTATATTAATTACTGATGTATTTATTTAGAATTCAGATATTTTGAAAAAATTAGGATTTGACCATTCCAATCAGTGGATTTTATATGATGATCGCTTTAGTAAATTCTTCGAATTTTTTAATGAAAATATAAGCAATATAAATATTTTATCAGAAAAGGAAATAATTGAAAAAGATTTAATTGAATATGAACTGCAAAACGCCAGTGAACGACAAGAACGTATAAAACAACTAGAACATGAATATCCTGGTTTGTGTGCATCAGATTCTGAAATGGAATCATTAGTGAATGAGGTAATGGAATTAGAACACGCTGATAAATCATATGCCATATTAATAGAAGAAATGCGGTAATATTTTCAACTACAAAATTTTAATATTAAAATTTAGTTGTGCTCTTTTTAATTTTCAGAATTAATAAAGATCAAATTAATACTAATCTCAGCAAGATCGAGGAAAGTTTAAATAAATTAAAAAATTCAGAAAAGGAAATGCTAGCTGTATGTCAAAACAAAACAAAACAATTAGAAGAATTGCAACGTGCAAATGTAAACTTAGTCAACGAAACTAAAAAGTATTTTACACAAATTGTAAGTAAATTATTTACTCTATATACACTGACAATAAACCAAACCATTCCAGCAATCGCCACCCTTATTTGTGCATCAATTACCTTTGGAGCAGTATTTTCTAAAATGTGATTCTTTTATGCAATATTTTAATTTATACATGAAAGAGAATTTTAAAATTCAAGTAAAGTTTACATATTCACAAATAAATATTTTTTGCTAAGACATATATAAATATATTTGTATTTTTAAAGGAATATATTGAATTCGATATTGATGATGAAGACTGTGAACTGGCTAAAAAATTACAAGAATTAGAAAATTCGTAAGTAAATATACATAAAAAAATTAAGTTAATTTAATTACAATTATTATCATTGAATTCAGTATTGCACATTATACGCTTGCTTATATTAAGGAAAAGGCTAAAGCAAAAGCTACGCAAACTCTAATCGATCATTTAGATATATCCCAAGTGCATATAATCAGTCTTGATCATATGGAACGTGTTACACGTGAATTCGAACAATTAAATACTCACAATCTAAAAAATGAAACTCTCTTAAATGATCTAGCCATGCATGTACAGCAGCACAGTCGACAACAAATTGAATTAATACTATACGAGAATACAAAAAATAAATTGGAACGAGCATCAAAACGTCTAGAAGATAACAAACAATTGGGCAAGATTATATCGGACACAATTCTAAATGCTGAACTTATATGGATTGCTATACAATTGGACATGGAGAAAAAGCGTAACCGATTTGATAATACGGAAAAATTAAATACGGATGCAATGTTATGTTCGGAACGTATAAAATGTATGCGTAATTCACAATTAACTTTAACGTCTAATGCTGCAAATCTTAATATCTTGGTAAAGAAAGGCGTTGACTTACTGTCAAAACATTTGGGTCAAAGAATGCGTTATGAGCAAAAACCTTTTCTTTATGAGTATGAAAAATTTTGCCGTTTATTTGTGTGTGTGCTGTGCTCTCTCGCAACTCAAGTCATCTACTCCTCTCATAAATGATAACTAATAATATCTCTCTCCTATTATACAGACTATTATAGAAATTATTTGAGCCATTGGTTTTGATGGTTGCCTGTGCCGAGACCTACTTGACACAAGTTCCACTTTCTGATTACCATTCTATTGATCGTCATAAAGTTCAACAACAATTCACAAAATTTAGTTAGACAACATTAGAGATTGTAATTTTTACCAATATTACAAGACGAATGGTAAGCAAATATTTTTTTTTCAATTTCAACTTTTTCATGAACAAAATTATATAATTATATATATACTTTTTATATAATATATAATTATAATAATATAATGAATATCGCCTTTGAATATCAAAATATATTTAGCTTTGAAATAAACTCACGGCACTCTCAGATCATTTTCTAAATTGATGTATGCCACTATCGAATTTATTGTTCACAAAAATACTTTAAAAAAAAGTTTGCCAGTTATCTACTCACTTATCTGAAAATATACATGTTGGGCAACGGTAAACCACCTTTTTGCAATTTTTTTAAAGAGCATTTTAAGTTTTGTTAAAAGATCCAGCTGATTTTAAACCTTTTGAACTTTATACGGTAACATTATATGCTATTAGGCCTAGGTAGCTTTCCAGTATCGCCATTATAAACTAACCTAATCTAGATCCAATGAAATAAAGTAATTATCTTTATTTATGTACAATATAATAGGGTTTTAGTTTTATAACAGTATAAGCTATATAAGCTGTATAATGGATATATAAGTTTTTTGAACTATTGCTGGATTCAATTAGAGAGATTTCGTTTTTAACAGCAAATGAGATATTTCAGACATTATGCGGCGAAACAGATAAAATTATATATAAATTCTTTTAACTCCTAGGAGGAGTATAGGGTCGCAGACAAAATTTAAAGTAATAAAATAAAAACCACAGCAATATACTGCAAAAGATATGTGGCTGTCCGACCCATCGTCTGCATATAGAATCATAATCCGATCAAATGAAAAATAGTCTGATCATAATTCTTCAATAAAAATATTTAGAATTGAACTTAAATATTAAATATTAAAAAAAAAAATAATTTAAAATATATATTACTAACAAACTGAATTTTATTATATCCAACGTGTTCTGTCTGATTCATATTATAGGCAGCTTCATGTGTAATAAAATATTTAATATCAAGTTAATAATTAATTATTGTACATATATTTTTTTTTTGTTTTATAGAAAAAAGATACATTATGGCATAACAGTCAAATGTTATGGATTTGGTTTTTAAGAAATCCCACGCGAGTTATTGCAGCAATCGATGAAGTTAAAAAGGCAACTAATAAGGAACGCTCAATACCTGGCGTTAACATAAGAGGCATAAATCATTTGACTGGTATTAAGACATTAGCAGGACTCAAACGAAAATAATTGCAAAAGATACAATAATATTTTCTGTACGTTAAAATTATATTGAATATTTTAAAAATAAATTGAAATAAAATAAATTTAATTTTGCAATAAATTACTAGTGATAATGATACTATAAAATATTCAAACTTTAATATATTTTGAAATTTAATATTTAAAATTATATGAAATAAATTGTACATATTATTAATGCTTTACGTTCACTTATTATAAATAACCTCAAATATTTAATATTTTGATTTTATTACTAAGTTAAATTGAAATCATCATTAATCATCATTATATTAATGTTCAATTTTTTGTACTGCAATGAACTAAAAATTATATACTAAGCTTGTCATTATATATTTTTAGTTTTCCCAATATGATTATAGTTTTAAAATTACAAAATAAATGGTAAAATACTTAATTCTCCCACTAAAGAGTTATTTTTTATATATATACTGTATAGCATATTAATCATGAAACCCAAAAAAAAAGTTGAACAAACAAATATAAACAGAAGAATCAAATTTTTAAAAGTATTGTGTGTATATCCAATTTTAGAACAAATCTTAACATCTAAAATATGTGATAAACAATAATAGAAAATAACATATAAAACGCAAAATACAATGAAAATGCTGTACGTACCCCCATGATGTCGCTCTTCTATTTTTCTGCCTAACGTACACACAAACTTGAGTCTAAACTTGTTCAAGTGGCTACCCAAAGAAATGGCTAGGTTTCTCCACCCTGACTTCAATTCAAACCCCACCCATCACTCAATTCATTCTAACTCTTAACTAATCCTCTTCACCACTTTCATTATCTTTCACATCCTTACCCATGTACACGTCTTTTCCTTTCGTGTTACCTGATTTCTAGATCGTAGCGGCTCCACTACAATAACAACAAATCAAAAAGTGGTATAATGGATAAACACACGTCTTAGATGTCTATATTGGATATTCTAGAAAGTAAATCCCTAAAATACTTAATCGCGTTTTAAACTAAGTAGAGTAGAGAAGAAAAAAAAATAGAATGTGATAAAATGTGTATAATCAAGTTTTTAACTATATTAAAAATAAAATAAGTCTCCAAATTCGGAGGATTGCTCTGATTTGAATCTTCTAGTAGCTAATGATAAACGCTGACACATGAGGTGGAGTACAATTTCCTACTCATTCACAGAGCCACAACCCTGACAAGTCCTTATAGGGTAGACCCAGTCTCATAATATTTCCTAATACACAGTGATCAATCAGCACCGATGTTGTAACCATTAGTTAAGTTTTAATTGAAACAGTTGACTTGTTTCTTGTTTAGTTATAAACACTTACGATTTCACAAAAGGATTCATCTGTCCAAGTTTGTTTAGTTATGCTGATATTTTTTCATTTGATTGCTGACTTGGCTATTACAAGTGGGATATTGATACCTAAGAAATGAATGTTAGGAAACAGGGTGCCTATCTTGGTAAGCTCGTCTGCCCTGCTGTTGACCGAAACGTGCCTGTGTCTAGCTACCCATTATGAGTTGGACACGAATATACCTAGCTAGCTCATTAAGAGAACCCCAACATTCTCGACTTGTTAGAGATTTATCTATAGCGCCTACCAAAGATTTGATCATTGCTGTCCGAGAAAATGACATAAATCGACATAACTTCTGTTTGAACGACACTGCAATGGTTTGGTAGTGGAATGGAGATCCTAAGCTCAAGTTTATTGGAAAATACGTCACGACGCCTCTTTCATACACTGGTATATAAAAATAATTAAAAATTCAAATAAATATTTATCAAATTATTGAAGTATTTACCTGAGCATTCAGATAAGTGTACTTTCAGGCATAAATATATCTCTATATACAATGTATTTTAAAATAAGTTTAAATTGCCATTAACATAAAATCTATGAATGAAGAAAATTACGTGCAAAATATAGCACCAGAGATTCCAATATAAATTCCATTTCGCGCCAAAAACTTGAAAAGAAATAATTAGAAAATTCAAAAAAAAAAATCCTATAAAATAAAAAGTAGAAAAAAAAAGAAAAAGAAAAACAATTCATCAAAAATTGAAAAAAATGTCGAGAAAAATAAATTCACAGTCAACAGAAAAGCGATAATTGTACATTAACAGTGTAACTGGGCGTATGAGTGTTAAATTAATTTACGTTCGTGTGTATGTGTATGTGGGTGTATTTATGTCCGAACACAATAAAAAATATTTGACATAATAAAAGCAACAATAAAGTACCCAAACAACAAAGTATGGACAATATAGTTATGTTCATACGCTTTCCGACATTGCAGACCAATCCACAAGTAGTACATCATACACACATACGCACACATTTACCGAATGCATGAATGAGTGGCAACTTGGCTGGCACGCGACGTCTGAATCCTCATAGAAACGAAGCATTTACGCATAATAATCCGGTAAATATGCTTTAATATTGAAATGTTAATAAAGCGCGAGCTATCTGCGATTAAATAATTTTCGTCACAAGCCATTTCATTAAACAACTTATAGACTTATTATGCACTTCCACCCCCGCCGATCCCTTGCAGCTTACATCACCAATAGCCAACAGTTTTATACTGTTCGTTGAACATAATCCCAATGCTCAGGTTCTGATACTTGTAGCTTTGGTTTCTGCTATCAATGCTTTTACATTTTTTTTCTAATTTCACTTGTAAATTTCCAGGCATGAATTCAAAGTTTTAAGGGTGTATGGTATATTAATAATAATGAATTAAATGATTAATGCAATGTTTACACTTTACAATTATTAGATCTCAATTAGATATAATTGTACAAGTGTTTACAGTACAAAATCTACACGAAGAGCAAATAAAACCAAAAAACGAAAAGGAATAGCATTCGTTATACAAAATTTGGAGTTAAGAGTTAAATTTACGAAGCGTGGTTTTCATATTGGATTGTTTCGAGGCAGCATTCTCCTATTTGACTAAAGTCAATTATTGGATATTTGTGATATATTGAATTAATTTAAATTTGTGTAATAACATGTTTCAAGTTTGGTTTATGTTATGTTAATGTTTGCCTAAGAAAAGTTAATTTTTGGCAACAGCAAATCAACAGATAAAAATCTAGGAACTTGTTTATTTCAAATATGCTTTTTCATATGATTCGCTGTTATATTTTTTCATTATTTAAACTTAAATTAACAGGGCACTTTAAACTAAAATACCACCTTACAATACCGGGTAATGAGGAGTCGGTCACATATGTGCTGTTAGAATGCCCTGCGCTAATGCACATACGGAATAGGCTCCTGCAAATGTGTATTCTTACGAAAGAGGCAATAAAAATCTGTAAAGTAGGTTTTATACTACTTTTTAATGACGCAACAGGGGCACAATTAAAGACCTACTCTAAACCCAGAAGGGAGCACAATAGACCCAACGGTCGCATTCAATTTATTAATTTTGTTAATAACAGCAGCAGCTACAATCTTCGAGAGTGAAGTTAGAACAGCGAGAAGAAAAGGAAGACCGAAAAAGAGACGGAGTAACAGTGTTTGAAAAGATCTGAGAAATATGAATGTCATCAACTGGAAGACAAAAGTCAAAAATAGAGAAGAAGAAAGGAATGTCGTAAAACAAAATATGTTCCAATATTTTACAAAAATGTATTATATATGAAAGTTGAAGAAAATAGTGATGACAGAATATGAAATATCTCAACAGAAATACGCAACAGACGATTTCATTTAATATTACTGGCTTCTTATAATTTTTTAAAAATAAAAAACAAATCAAAAATATTACACTTCTTTAATTTACTTATTAAAAAATTTTATAAACAGATATATCATTTATCTTAAAGGAAAGGAAATATCATTTACTAAAGTAATGAGGTCAGATATTGAAAATGTCTGCACTACAAAGTAGACTGACATACTTAAAACATGGTTATATATTCGGATAATCTTTCTCTATTACTAAGAGTTCTGTCAATGTTAAGACACATAATTATGACATATTATTTAAAAAACATAAAATTAAGCAAGTTGTTTATATAGAAGTCTACAGACGAAACGTATAAGTCCAAATTTGAAAAGATATCAGTAGTTTGTACGAAAATATTTTTTTCTTTTTTAAAAAGAAAAAAAATAGTATTATAAGTAATTTTTTTTAATATACAGGGGGTGTTTTCCTTTAAATTTGATAAAATTTTGGACTTTATTGGTATTCCTTAAAGTGGTTTAATTCTAACTAATTAAAATTTATTCCAAATACAACTGAGATCAAAACGTGCTCTAATTATTCTTATCAGTCTATCTACAATCCGCCTATGTTGTACGAGAATATCTTATTTGTACGTACTGCTTTGCATAATTGTTCTCGTATCATGCATAACATTTGCAAAACAAATGCGAAAAGTTAAAAAAAATTGTCCTTTCGTCTGCTAAAATTCATATAAAGGCTGTAACAGGATACGCGCCAAGTTCACTCGTTAGTTGACTTCGGTCGGTGAAGGTTCTGATCTGAAACATAGCTTCGAACAAATAAATAGTGAACTAAGAAAATTAAAAAAAAAATTAATATAAAAAATATATATGTGTGCGAGTTTCTGATGGATTAAAGTAAATTTGGCAAGGAATTTTAAATTTAAAAAATAAATAATACTATATTAATGATTGTGTGCAAAATGATTTGATGGATTTGACGTTTGAATTGATATTTGAATTTGAATATTTTGCCGCACATATCACATAATTTCAACATAAATCACAAAGTAACAGTGCCAACAACAACAGCAACAAGTGCCTAGTGTGGCCATCTTTTGCATGCAAACAGTTAAATGATACTTATGAGCTTTTCGTATGCATGTGTGTATGCAATCTCGTTAATTCAGTGTATGTTCTGTTTGTATGCGAGTAGGTGAGTGAGAGTGTGTCTTGCGATTTTCGTTGCTTTGGGGTATCGCAGCCATTTAAGTGCGTTCCGTTCTTCGTGCTGTTGTTTCAGTTCTGGTTTTATGAGTTTATGATGTGCCACAGCTTCAATTTACTCGTTACTTATGTGTGTACAAATGTGTATTTTTCTTAATAAAACGACAGGATACTCTGTGCCTTTTAATATAAATGAAAAGTAAAGAAAAAAAATCATAAAATCAGAATATTTACCCTAAGGAAAATTCAATTACTTCAAAGTGATTTTTTTCTGATTTTTATTAAAAATCGAAATATCTTAAAAGAAAAAATCATATACATTTAAACTTATTTAAAAATTTCATTAATATTTGAGATGAATTATTGGAAAATAATTAATGTCTTCTTAATATGCATCCAAATTGATTAGAAAAAATAAAACAAAATGAAATATATAAAAGATACAAAATGGTTTGAAAAATTTTAAAAATATAATATTAATTTGTGTATTCATAATAATTATGAAATACCAGATGTCATGAACAATAAATAATTTTAAAAATTTATACAAATTTAATAGTTTATAGAAATTTAATAAATTGCACAACAGTTTCATGTAGTGTTTTAATTTTAATAATAGTAACTAATGAATAGTTTATAAAAATATAATAATTTATAAAAATATAATAATTTATAAAAATTTTAAAAATTTATAAAAATATAATCACTTATAAAACATTTTCTTAAAGTGTTTAAATTTTAATAATAGTAACTATTTGTTATAAAAATATTACTAATATTGCTTTTTTTACAGTAAAAGCTTTAGTTAAGAATAAAAAAGACAATATATTATAAAAAATAAATAAATGTAATACTTTAAACAAATTTTAAATAACTTAATAAATTTAAATAACCACACTTCTTAATAATTTTACAAAATATAAATAATATTAATTTTATTTATAATTTTACAAATCAAATAAAAGTAAAATAAAAATAAAAATAAATTAAAACAAAAAACAATAGAAGTGTTATTAGTGTAGTGCAAATAAAATATATGTAATTAAAAAAGTATTATAACAGTCTAATAGAAATAAATACTAATCTGCTTATAAATTATAAATGTCTCACAATTAAATATTGCTTCGCCATATAAATTTGTTCTTTCACAAGAGAATTAACTACTCAAATACAACTAGCCTCAATACCCACCTTGGTTTTGATTTTTTTTGGCTCTAATTATAGTCGAATTCTCTTAATTTCTTAATATCTTGAATTAAAAATATTTCTTAATATAGTAATGTAATGTAGAGCTATTAACCAGCGATTAAGCAATCTATTCTTTTTTTCTTCTAATCCACCAGATCGACAGTACTTGCTAACTGGTCGAATAGGGTATGTATTTAAAAATATACAGTGTGGATCTTATCTTTTAACATAGAAAAGCAAGCTATAGTTTTAGATCTCCCTAATTTTGATGTTGGATCAACTCTATTGGTTTTTAGTCGAATTCTTTTAATTTCTGAATAAATAATAAATAATTTTAAGTTATTAAATAATTTAAATAATTTTTTGATCTAGTAATTTAATGCTTAGCTGTGAATGGGATCCGTATCGAAAACATTTTGGAATTCATTAATAGCCGAACTATGCATGGCTGTGAACAATTTTGAATGTGATAATTGAATCGAACTATGATTGCGCGGATGATAGATAAATCAGTATTTAAAGCGAATAGTTCTGAGTAGCAAATCTCTGCAAAGAATAACTTTAAAGGATCACCAGGCAAACCACCGTCCTGCTTAAACTTAAAGTGAAGATTTATTTTATTAAAAAAAAATTTAATAAATTATTTCAATTTAGTAGATGTATAAAGACATCATTTGAAAATGAAATATGTGAAAAAATTCTAAAAATAAGACTGTCATTCATGACTACGATCGTTGCTAATCCCTTCAATATAAATTATTCTTAAATTTTACGATTATTGAAACATTGGAAATGCGACTAAAACTTAAAATTACTTTCGGTTGGTTTTTGATATTTGGACTACGTGCTTATGCTTTAATTTATGAAGCGAAACGAATACAATTTGAAGTTGGTTTCTGGGAAGATCTCTCACGAGAGAATATGACAACTGTCAGTAATAGCAAAAATAGTGCAATTAGAAGCAACGCTGAATCCTCTGCTGAGTATTTTGAAGCAGGTCGTACTGAAAAACGTGAAGCTCTTGAATATGAAAAATCGGGTATGCGAGTATTCAATGTTGGAGTTTTAATGGCTTCACATTTAGGTAGTTTACTTAGTAAAAACCTTTTACTAGTGATATTTGATGTTATATGATTAATTTGTGAACAGATTCACCTTTTGATTTGGAACGTTGTGGACCTGCTGTGGATTTGGCATTAGAAGTTATTAATGAAGATTTTTTAAAGCAACATAATATAACATTGAAAAAGGTTCAAGCAAGGTACGTGATAATTATATTAAATTTAATTTATTTAACATTCCGAATATATTAAAAATACTAACTTTTTATTAAATTCTGTATTTTACTTAATTTTTAAATTCTGAAATTCATTACTTACACATTTAATTTTATTCAATTTATTATTCCTTTTTAAGCTTTAATACCATTTAAAATGTATATGTATGGGTAAATGAGTGTCTGTTTGAGTGTTTTTTAATTTGTTTCAGTGCACTTGTTGCGCATTGTTGCTTTATTCTGTTCCATAATTGAGACCTTGTTCCAGTGCTACGACTAAGTTCAAAATTAATTGCTTGTATTTAATGTTCAAATTATGCCTTTATTGCTCCCAAAGCAACAGTAGCGAATGCACGAGTAAGGATAACAAAAATGGTATCTTCATCTTCAACTGTGGCTGAACACAAAAGAGTACTGAACGTAAAGAAACAATTTTTATTTTCTCCCATTTGTGATTTTATTACCGACCGCGCACTATTTAGGGGTTTCAGAATTTTTATAATTATATTTATTTAAAATTTCTTAAAATATCAAGACTTAATACAATGGCAATTTTTCTTCTTTACCCAAAAAAAAAAATTTATATGGAAATTTGAACATTATAAAGCCATTACTTAAAAAATTATAATATCAGGAGAAGAACCACTGAGAACAACAGTAAATATATCTTAATATCTTAGGAACTAGAAACATAGTCATACGAATCATTGATATAAAGATGCCAGAGGTTGGTGCCTTTAGGAAAGACGTTCAGAATATAAAAAAATAAAATATGAATTCCTTCAATTTATATACTAGGAACAATTGAAAAATTGAATCTTGATAGCAATTAAAAACTTATAAGTTTTTATATAAGTTATATAACTTATATATATATAAACTTTTATATGTTATTTTCTAACAAGTTAAGAGTGATCTTTTGGACTCATTTAGGCCCTAAAAAGTGATATCACATATCAATTTATATGCACTAGTTGGCTATAGAAATATTGTATGAAGCTACCTCTATTTTTTACTGAAAAACCACTATATCATCTAGATAAACAAAAAACTTATTATAGTCAGACGCCTTTGGCAGGTGCCGGAAGATGTAATTCTATACAGAAGTTTGAAAATACTAGTTTGCTGTAGCAATTTTGAATGAAGACACTGTTATTTTGGACTAGAAAATCACATTGTCGTCTGAATAAAATAAGAACTCATATTAAGTTGATGCCTTTGGAAAGTACCGGAAGAAGTGATACCACATAGAAATTTAAAGACACTAACTGACTATAGGAATTTTAAATTAATATACCGCTAAAAACAAACTAAGAACAATCAGGTGCTTTTGGCAATTAACGGATAGCGATTGACCAGTTAAGTAATGTTTTCTTTTTTTCTTCCAATCCACTAGATCAATAAAAACCTGCTAACTTGTCGACTAGGTAAAGCATTTTTAAATACAAAATATTGATGTTTGTCTTTGACATAGAAAAACAAGTTATTATTTTAACTCTATTTAATGCTTTAAAGTATCGTTTATTGGATATCCAATAATGAGATCATTTATAGAGTTGTCATTGGCATATAGTAAAACAAGTTATGGTTTTATATGTATATAATTTTAGTATATCTATTTCGCGAAACACTTCTACATTGATTAATAATTTATATCATGTGAGCCCGAAACATTAGATTTGGAAAAAGTTAGGTTTCCAAGCCGAAGTGATCACTTTTAAAAACTAAAATGGTTTAATTTTAGAACACATAATACTAGTCTATTTATTAATGGTTCTGTTTCATAAAATTTCTTTTTAATAAAAAATATATACTACAAGTTTTTCCAATTGAACTGTTCTTAATACTTTGGATAGTAAGAATGTGGTTCTATAATTGTTTTTTGTTTTAAGATTTTTGATCTTAAGGTTACTTAATTACAGCCAATGATATATAAGAAGTATAGTTTCAAACTCAGTATTCCAGATTTCATTACTTTTATTACATTCATTACGATAATCTAACAGAGGTGTTAGTGTTACTTTATGTTGCCTCATAAGTCCCAGAGTTTAAAAGGAATTCAATATTTAAACAAAATAAAAAATGCTTTCCAAGAAGAGATCTTGCAGCTGACTAAAATCATCTAGATAATAAAACCCTAGCATCCTTAAATATTCTACACCTTAAGTTGTCAAGCCTTAAATATTCTACACCTTAAGGTGTTAATGCTATCACTTTCTTTTTTTTTAGCCATTCATCATAATTTTTAAGCCTATCGGGTGATAGTGTCCTTTCTGTCCTTCTTCGTCTATCACTTCTTTTTGCTGGTAACTTTTTATTAAACATTTTACTCTATGATATATCTTTAAGAATTTTTATAATATAATCATTTTATTTCAAACTTTACTTTTTCACATTCTCAGCTAATATTGGAATCTTTTGTAATAGTTATTGCTTTGGCTATAACCAGTCAGACTAGAAAAAGGTTAACTTCCATTTTCTCTGTGCATGCTTTGCTCTTCGGAAACAGATAACAACCATCCTAGATAAACTCTGCTCTATGCTCTTACTAAGAGCGGTGTCTTTACCTAAATACACCAAGGAAATAATAATAATAATAGATAAACTGATGTTCAATTATCTTAGGGAGCTTGCAGAAGTTTAATTTGGTTGCAAAGCTTCCCAAACCGCATGAATTGAATTTGACAGAGCTATATATAAATAAATTGGATAGAGTCACCACTTTAATCATTTGATCAAACTTATTATGTCTGTCCAATCATTTTTTCTAAAGGGCCAAATATATCTTTTTAAAAGAAAATAATCCCATATTTTACATATGTTTTGTCTACACCAAATTTTGTTTTACTTATTTATCATTTAGATTTAAATAGATTTTTGGAAAATTCAGATTTTGTGTACTTTCATCTATCAAAGGAAAATTTAAAAACAATTATAACCTTTATATATCTATAATTCTTGAATATTTTTAGTTATCCATCTTGTTCTGGTGAAAGAGCACCTGGCTTAGCCGCTGATATGCACTTTAAGAACGATGTAATTGCCTTCATTGGTCCTGCCTGTGCATTTGCCTTGGAGCCTGTTGCACGCCTTGCTGCTTATTGGAATACACCAATTATTACTGGCATGGGTGATCAGGTAATCACTAACAGAAACCAAAGAAACTAATTTATGTCTACATACATAGCTTATACCACAAAAACCGTATGCCTGGAATCCTTTTCACTTTACACTTCATGCTTTCTTTCCACTTTCTGTTTCAATCAAAAAAGCTTTGCCGCGGATCCAGAACTACGAGTTTTCATTAAACTCCTGTGGTTTTGCTTCACACTTCCGCAATTGGTTTGGTAATCTCCGTTCAAGAACGCGTGTCAGTTGACAATTTAATTTTCTTTCATTCCTTTTTACGTTGTTTAATTATTTTTACTTAAATAATACCGCGTAATGCACTGGCGATAGGAGGGAGTAATAAAATCCAAAGCGGTAGCAACTAATTTTATGTCAATTGGTGAGCAGATAAAGCACAAATCAAGTGAAATTATACAAAATTAATTGAAACTTAAAGTGATTACAAAACAAAAAATGGCCATTTTAGTCGTTCACTTTGTATACTCCTTTATACGAGTTTAAAATAAAGGATATATAATAGCTCAGCATGTGGTGTACTATAAGGACATGCACCATAAGATAAATGAAGTTTTTAGTACAATTTAGAATGCTTTAAGGATAACTGAAATGTTAGTGTCTTTAGAGAGAATATATTTTTAGGAAAACTAATTTTATTTCTTTATGAATTCTCTTCATCTTCATCTCCATTACATCCTTAAGATTATTTCATCAAATAGGTTCTGTATAGATTTTATTGAATTAGGTATGGAACGTGTCGAAAAAGCTATTTGCCATCAGCTCAATCGTTATGGTTGTTTTAATTTGGGAATCTGGATGATTATTTAATAGTTGGGAATCTGGATGATTATTCCAACATTGAATAATAATTGATTGAAAATTTGATTTCAGTTTCATCTTAAATTAATATTAGAGCCGTGTAATAATATACTATTAAGTATCTATTATCAGTCAAATTTGTTAAAAATATTTAGTCATTATTAAATTTAATATTAGAGTCGTATAATCGAATGTTATAATGTCAAATATCCATTGTAAATGATATTGTTCAATAAGTATTTAGTTAATACTAAATTTAATATTAGACTCCTATAAACGAATGATTTACTACCAACTAACCATTATCAATGAGTAAAGTTGGCTTTATACTTGAATTTTTATACATTGTGACAAGGCTATGTTATTCAGACAGGGATAATAGGCTATATTCAAGACTTTTTTAAATTACTATTTTTATATATCTAAACAAGCTCTCAAATACGAAACTTAATGTAATATATATATATACAGATGTTATATTCTCTTGACAGAATACTACCTCAAAATATTCATATTTCTCTTATAATTTTAATAATATTTTTAAACAGAATAAATACTTTTTTTCTATGCAAAGTATAACATAAAATTTGAAATAATTTAATATATTTAAATAAAATATTTGCAGCCTCCATCTGAAGGTGAATTAACTGTAACTTCCGGTATACTAGGAAAAATTCACAAATGGAAGAATGAAAGTACGGTAAGATCAAGTAAAAAAATACTTATATATTATACTTATAACATACCTTTTATAAAATATTTATAATTATCTACATTATATAACAATATCAATTAACTACGATATGCTTCTTTTTATTTTCACAAACACTTGAAGCCAGCCTAAGAAAAAATATTAGAAAGTATTTTGACAATAAATATAGTTTATAAGTTTCTAGAAATGAAGTAGTTTATAAGAATAATTTTTTTTTGTATTAAATTTTGAAGTACCATTAAATACTTTTTGATGCTCCACAAAAAAGTATCGATCACTAAGATAAGACTTTAGAATCACAAAGTTTGGTACAATAGTAGTTTCTTAAAAAGAATAAGTAGATGCCAAACTCTAGCATCTCTACATTTCTCTGGATGTAGAGATATGATACTATGCAAAATTTTTTTTCTACAACTATCATTGTTTTTATACCAAGTATTTGATGACACTAGAGATCATAATACCTTAATTCTTCTTGTACGTAAAGTGTCTGATCCAAAGAGAGCAACAAGCGCAGAATTAAAACGAACATTTTCCTATATATTCATATATGTTTCAAAAGATTGTATCGTTTGTATTTAATTTTAACTTAATAATATTGTTAAATACAATATTATTCGTTTAATATACTTTACTTGCTATATTGCGTCCGTCACTACTAGATGAAAATAATAAAAGATAAATTACCAAAATATGCAGACATCAATAATCCTTGTATATTTATTTATAGAAATATATACCATTTATAGAAATATGTTATATACCATTTTAATTTAAGTATTGTGTATTCATATGCCACAAATTTTTTAAATTAATAAATATCTCCAACATATTCTTTTTCTGAAACACAAAAAGACCTTCTAAATTAAAAAACCCGTCCTA